TGGGACAGCGACCAAGGGGTCTGCACTACAAGCAGCAGATTAAAGGATTACCATTAATTAGATGTCAGGGACAGAGAGGGGCTTTGCCTGTCTTGGCCATGATACAATATCTGTTAATCTGCTGCGCTCCTGGATAAAAAGAAATCAGTCCATTGACAGGAAAAATAGGAAAAGAGGGATGGGGCCAGGAAAGAATTGAAAAACAAGAACAAAGAGGCAAAGGAGTAAGGGGTGGGTATAGAGATTGGAAAAGGGATGAAAGATGTGGAAGAAAGCAAATATGCTCATGGTCCACTTGAACGTATAGTGAGATTTTTCTTATAGAAAAAAAAGCAGCTGGGGATAATACGAGGCATGAGGGTGTAAGAGACCAAAAGGAAGTAATAATGAGTTAATAACAGAGTGATCTATGGAGAAGCGACAGGCTTAAGAGAGGGGTGAAGTGGAAGGGGCCTGAGTGGAGAACATTGATTCCTAAGAAACATAAAATGGAGCTAAAAACTCTTTACTTTTACTTTTATTATTATTTTTTTAGCCAAACATCTCTCCAAGATAGACATTTGTCCATTTCATCTTTCAGCTTTGCCCTGCACCACTGCATGTGTATGAAAGTGAAAAATGACCAGCTGCACTTCACAGATATAGTGTTCCTTTGTACACATGTGTCATTCTTAATTGAAGACGCGCCCAGATGGATAGCAGGTAAGTCAGGTGATTGACAGGTGACTGATTTGAGTTTGATAAGGCACTAGTCCATAATAGATGTCCTGACCCTTGCTTTTAGTGCTATTAACCGAAGCAAAACTGCCTGTGTTGACTTCATCTTTCTTTGACAGGGAGTTTGATACTGTGCCTAAGGCCAGGTGAGAACAGGCTATTGGGGTCCTGTTAAACACCCGCCTACCTGCCCAGCAGATAACGCTCACCCTGTGGGCATCCTGGTTTTGGCTACTGTCTTCCCAGTCAGGACAGCTCACGCACACTGAGCCTACAGCTGTATGTGGCTTATCACCAGCATGTGCACTGTAATATTGCTTATAGGAAATATAAACTATGTGCAAAGTAAGGTTAATCTTAAAATATACAACCGTGCATTTTGTTGAGTTGGTCAAACGCCTGAAGGCAAGTGCAGGACTGCAAATTTTTGCTACAGAGAGTAGCGCCTAATGTAAATTTGAGTTGTGAGGGGGTAATTGATAGAGAAGGGCTGGGACATCATTTTCTTATGGCCAGGCATAGGGCATTCCCTCTATTTGAGTAGAGGGACTCTGGGCACCCCTATGAGCCCCACTCGCCTGAGACTCTAATTACTTTGGGGACCTGGAGAATTCAAAGGATTTAGATACGGGAAAAAAAGAATTTCCAATTTACTGCACCACTTGATGTTTGTCTTCGTTTGTGGTACGACTTGTGCTTCGGAAAGCAAACGGACACAAAGTGCACATTTGTGCGTCCTGATAAAGGTGAAACATTATTAGAACGCTGTCACGGCTGTGTTTATCCCTGGGCAGTGTGTGTGTGTGGATAATAATCTCCTGGACAAACACACTGTAACCTCCCCCCCCCCTTTTTCTGCCAGAGCTATCTTCATCTCACAAAGCGCAACCCCTGCCTGTCTGGCTGCTGACATTTTTGCTCATGCAGTGGAGCCACCTCCCCAAAACCCTTTACAGAGGGAATAAATTACATTTGAAAGTATAAAGACAGAGCCATCAGTTTCATTTCTTGATTGAGTCGTATCTCATTCACTTTTATTATGCCGTTGTTTAGACATTTACACAGACTTGTGAAAAACTCAATAATCAGTTCACAGTTGAGGCAATGTTCTGCATAAGAATATCTGGATATCTTTGAGTCCCAGCTATGGTCCGCTAGGCGAATCATTTGGTTACATGCAAATCATCTTTTCATTCCGTACGCTTTATATAATTAGAATTCTGTAATCAAATTCAAATACTAAAAAAGCATAAAAATATTCATTTTCATTAGTTTGTAGCTTAGATTACATTTTCACCTGATTGAGAACAGTCCCCTGTGGACTATGGAAGGTGCTGTCTAAACAGTTTAAAACATTGCTTCCTTGACAACAGACCCCCTGAAGCATGATAATCAGAAACACATTTTGGTTATGAGGTCAACCGACAATAATTGCCTGGCAGGTTGGTCAATTAACACTTTTCCCCCACACGTGAAAAGGATCTGCATGCACATGTTTATGTTGTACCTTTATATAGTAGTTCAGAAAGGTGTTAATTTCTTTCCTTTGCATGATTTAGTCTTAGAAAAATGCAAATCACATGGCAGGATATTAGTATATCAGACAAGAGGAGCAGTGTGTGTTTCATACTTATTCAGCACGACATGCTTTCGAATTATGAGGCCACAAAAGCAGTAAAAGCTTAATTTGAGAGGTTACACTGTTGCCCACTGAAAGCTATAAGAAAGCTCAATGGTGAAATGAGGATTTAATAAAAAAATATTCCCAGTGATTCAGTTGTCATTAGTTGAGCGTGCCCCTACGCATATGCACAGACCATGACCAATGAAATGAGAGTGAGAGAAAATGGGTGGTAAACTTTCCATCATTTCCATTCTTTCCTGTTTAACGGGAGGATATTTTGCACTCGCACTGAGTGGCAGAGACCAGTAAACCCACAGTGTTTTACGGCTTCCCAGCTTAGTGTTGACAAAGATTGGGCACCAGAGAGGCCTGCTAGAAAGTCACAAAGTCATGCAGGACAGAGAGTGGGGGTTTGCAGAGTGATCCTTCACTGACAGAATCTAGTGTTGTTAATGGTTTAAGGCATTAATGCCACACTTTCACACTTTAATTGAGCACCCGGTGAGCGAGATGTCAGACAGCACAGCCCTCCAGGGTGGCATATGTTGTCTAAGTTAAGTGTGTGCATGTGTGTGTTTGACTATGTGTGCCTACGTATATGCAAGTTTGTTTGTGCGCGTGTGTGCATCTCGCCTGTGTGGGAGTGTGACAGACAGAATGAGACCTCTCAGCAGAAGATGCCGGAGAGGCAATCGATACTGCTCACAAAGGTGTGTGGCTGCAGCCCTCGCTCGTTATGCGCGCCGAGGGAGGCTTCTGCCGAGTCGGGCTGAGGAAGAGCCAGGGGAGTATGGACACACACTCACAGAGGCCCCCTGATGCCGGCCTTTGCTGTCTTTTTTATGATACGTGACAAGATAATGAGTCTCTAGCACCCCTGAAAATATCCCCCATGGGTGTCTTATCCCTGTGTATTTCTCCTGTGGAGGTCAGGGTTACTGTATTATTTCTTAAGATACATTGTGAACAATGTCACCAGATGTCCAGTTAAAGGCACCTCTATTTTAGATGTGATGATGTCCAAAACCAAGAGAGGCTATTTATGAAAATATGCTGTACGAATAACACAGGCGGAGAAAAAAATGAATAGAAAATGATACCTACAGCATACTGTGACATTGGAAAAAATACCTCTCTGCAAACAATGTGGCCCCTATTATCTACAAATAACCAGAATCCCGAAGGTGCTTTTGGATTAAATATAACTGCGAAAATAATGGGCATATTTTAAAATTTGATAATGCAACCCAATCCTTCTGGGCACCATTTTCTTGGACCAAGACTGTGGGACAGTTCTGTTGAGCTGCACCCTATCCCCATCCATTTTTATGCATGCTGCCAGTAAGCTGTGCCAAAGTGCTGATATCCCTCATTAGAAAAGCAGGATCCAGGAAAGAGTCCAACTAATGCCTGCCCACACTGACACAATGATGGTGCAGGGTCTCCACAGGAGATTTGAAGGTCAACAAGAAAAACAGGTTGTAACCAATAGCAAATTGTGGCCTGTGAAAACCTGTCCATTTAAATAGAATCTCTTGTGCTCTTGTTGAATGAGCTTAAGGGGAGTGGAGATGTGTTCCCTCATGCTTGTTAAGGCTAACTGCATGTGACTGCAGAAGGAAACAGACACGCTGATTGAGGTGACTGTGTATGCATGTGTATCCAAGTGAAGCCTGTGTGATTTCCATGCCAGCAGTCAATTTATCCACACAGTGTGAGGCCCTGCACTGCAACACGCACACAAGAAGTGCAGAATATTTGACATAGATTAAGAAAAAGTGCAGCTATTCTAACAAGTCATTCATTATCTAGTGATACCCAAAATAATTCTATCCACTGAGCCCACAAAAGCCAACATTTATCCAGCCCTTAGGGCAAAGCCTGGGGAGGCTTGGCTCCAAGAAGGCTGGAGTATGGAGTTAACACAGGTCACATCCCATCTTCAGTATCCTTAGGCAAAATATGTATCCTCATTTACAGCAATTTCACATATCACCAGTGCCTCTTTTTTCTGTTAAGACTACATTTATCATCATATTTTTCTTTCTCTTGTTCGCTCACTCAAACACGTGCGCACAAAGTGGATTCACACTCCTGTCTTACTTGAAAGCCTTCTCCCTCCTGCGCTTCTTTGTGAAAGCTCTGGGGTGCTGCAGGTGTGGTGAGGGCCTTTCGGTACCAGATAGGGCACGAGGATTACATCCACACTAGATTAAACCACCACCATTGCCTGCTGGGAATTCTAACAATTATCAGCCTTGTACTCCAGGGATGTTGGACCGATGGGGAACAGGGAGTCCTGAGGCAGAGGAGGAGGGGGCAGCCAGGCATTGGTGGTCGCAAGGGTAATGTCTTCATCTTGAACACCGGTCTGCCACATTGAGATAAACAGCGCCTGCCAGGCAAATGTATTACAAACCATCAGATGTCTCAAATGCACTGTTAAAAAGCACAGTTTGAGATATGGAATCGACTATTTTGTTTCATCTGACTGGCTTAAGAATACCCTGCTGCTTATCTCCTTTTGTTTCATTCTGCTTCCTTGGCCACAATACCGGTCACTGATGCTGCCGTTGAAAGTGTAGGTAAATGCTCCCTTTTGCCACCCACACAAAAGCATGCCTCTTTGTCATTTTGGAGCCTGTTGTAAATTGAAGGACCCTTCTGAGGGCACTGGGGAGAGAAAAGGGGGTCTGTAATGAGAGCATTAAAACAACATATGCTGCTCCCTTGCACCTCCACACTTAAGGCTGGCTTTTATTTCACCCTTTTTCCCTCAATTGCACACTCTGCTCCCCCCTCTGTTGAATTCCCACTTGCCTATTTTTGGAAAGTCATTGAGAGTCTTTGACAAAGACAGGCTGAAGTGAATGTGAAAACGTGCCCCTGGCCTTCGTCGCCTCGTACTGGAGCAGGCCATCTGACCACCAGCAGTAGGTTGGGCCAAGTGGGGCCATTAGACCAAACCTAGGAGACCCGTGCAGCTACTACTGCCAAGCTGCTCCACTCTCCTTCAAGCTTCAGACTACTCTGCCCACCTCAGCCACCACCTACCCCTCCTTTTCTCTTCCCCCTGCAGGTGCCAACTCTTCTGCTCGGCCAGATCCCACTGGAGCACACAGAAAAAATCCATCCAGTCAACCCCGTTCTCCTGTGTGTGTGTGTGTGTGTGGGGGGGGGGGGGTAACGGTGATGTGAAAGAGCACTGGTGGCAAAATGGGACTCGTGAGTGGAGGTGTCAGAGGAGGTTCAGTCCCAGGAGGGCTAATTTTATATTGTTGTCCAGATGACCTTGAGCGGGGTACCATGGAAACATTTCTACCTTGACTTTGCGAGGTGTCTTGGTGGCTCTGCGTTCGTGTGGCGACAAAGCCCTCTCACCTCAGAACAGAGAGAAATCGCCAAAGGCAAAAGGCTGGAAATAATAGCAGGGCGCCTTTGGTACCTGGGGAAAGAGAGTATTAGCAGGAAATCTTTTGAGGTGCCGCTGTTCATGCTCCATAGCTCCTCTTCAGACAGGTAGCTGTATTTGAAAGCTATTGATGGCCTTGTTCAATCAATGGAACAACAGTAGTCCTGAACCAAAGTGACTCAGAGAAAAGTGAAGCTAAGTGTGTGTGCATGTGTGTGTGAAAGGAAGAGAGAGCTTGTGATTGCATGTGTTAATGCGTGTTTAAAAGGGCTTGTGTTTTAGCGGTGTTCAGAATGTGTGTGTGTGTTTGTGTGTGTGTGTGTGTGTGTGTGTGTGCAATAAGAAACAGACAATTCCTACAAGATTTGATCATGTAATATTAGCTTGGAAATGTACCAAACCTCCATGTTAGTATCCAAGCAACATGTGCATTCTATGTAAATTTCTGTCAGCTAACACTATATTCAGCAGCATCTGTCTGCTGTGTTTTGATATCCAAATGAAGTCAGCTGGAATACATTAGACTGCACACATTTATTCCAGGAATTAAGTAATATTAGGCTTTGATTACCACAAATTGTGCCCAGGCAGGACAAGACAATATTTTTATGCAAATGCAGAAAAACAAATCCACACTGGCTCAAAATGCTAAATAGGGACATAATAAGGATTCTTTTTCACTCAGCCCAAAGACAAATGCAAAAATCTTTGGCTAAACAAGCAAATATTTGTTTCCAAATCATTTGATTTGGATGTGTTTTGAATTACAGATTAACCAAAGTTGTAGATGTACCTGCCTAGTTCCCTCCATCGTGTCATGCCTCATTGTCATGGACTGCTGCTGTGTGGCTGTAGGAGAAGGAATAGGAACGACATGCATCTTCCTTTGTGCCCCACCCACTGTCCTGCTGTCCCAGGCACAGCCCATCTGCCACCTCAACACATACCTACGATAGAAAACACTAATATTCATTTTGATTGGTTCACCTGTCATGCTTACTCACCAGACACATTTATGACTTTCTCAGTCAAATCCAGCGTAGGCTCTGAGAGCGTGGTCATGCACAACTGGAAACAATCCCTTTTAAGAAGGCAGGCAAATGTACTTACGCAAACAATCTCTGATGAATACTGCTTTGTTTGCTTCCTCCTGCTATTGAAACATCAAGAAAGTTAGCATTTGTTGTTAACATCAATTAGGAATTAATTACATGCCGTCTTGTAAATAGTGTTCTAAATACAGACCAAAGGGCCGTGCGTCATTGTTTTGTACTTACACTGAGCAAGCATTTGTAGCTGGCATCTCTTTTCCCGTGAAGTGCCCTTGGAACCAAGTCTTTTATATCTCAATTAAAGTGCTTTCCCTGTGCTCCCTTGCTCTGAGCATGGCCATTATCACCATGGCTCCCAACTGTCTAATTATGCCCACTCCCAACATCAACCCCCTCCCCCTCCAAACCCTATACCGCGCCCACGCTGCTCTATCTTGGACCTTGGCAAGCTCACCTCAGCCTCCTTGTAGCCAATCAGAGAGCAGTGTGTGGCATCATTAGAGTATGGGATCGGCTGTGTGGCGCTGGGTGTCTCTATGGGAGGCATTGATGAAATACCCCAGGGGAGACCTGGCACAGCAAGGCTGCTGCTAAACCCTGAACTGCCTGTCAGCAGCACTTTGTCTGAACATGATAAGTTCCTGTTAGGAGGCAGTGCTGCCATGGTAGAGCCTACGCCCCCTGCAATGTACAGCAGCTTAGACCTCCAAAAAGCAGCCCAATATTTCAGAGCAGCCTCTGGTGTCTGGACGGCAGTGCTGCGATGGCATTCGCTGTTTAGTAACAATTACCACAGTGCTGGTAAACCTCTGCAGAATTATGACTCAATATTCAAGAGTCAGGAGCTGTGTATCTGAAAATTGTCCCCAAAAATGATTTAGATCTTAGAAAATATTGAGAAAAGGGCTAACTATGCTTTCTTCATGGGTTTTGTTGACAATGACAAAAATATCGAATTGCCAGCCTTAAAAGTAGTAATTTAGGAGGAAACAACCATTGAAATATAAATACTAAAGCTGCTGTTGATCAATTTAAAAAATAGGTATCAAAAATTCAAACTGAGACAAATAATAACACCTCTTATTCCTCCCATAGCTCCATCCCCCAAGACATCTGGCTGGGAATGATTGATAGTAGCAGTCAGACCTTGTGCTTCAGACTCCTCGTTGTTGTTTTTTGTTTTGTTACACGCGCTTTCAAATGGAAACAGAAGGAGAATTAAACTATTGCTGTTTCTAAAACATGTATTTAGCTTTTAAATGTCATAAATTAGTCACTTTTAGACATTAATTTCTCAAGATAACCACAGGTTTGAGTGATGTCAATAAAGTAAATAAAGTGGTATTTAAGATTACACTCACACTTTGAGATGAAACTGAAGAGTTCTTCCCGGGAGAGACAGAAATATGAATCGGCTCGGTGACTCACAGCTTTCCATACGTGGAGTGGCGGCTTAATGGAAAATAAGGGAAAGAATAGAACTGCCAAGTGACAAGTCCAGGGAAGTATAGAGCTGCAAACAAAGCGCACCTGCTCTGCATAGAGAGCACAAATGAGACTTCACTATCATAAATCATGCACCTATAGTAGACAGGTACCTACTCATATTTAGACTCTGGGGGCAGATGCAGACTATGGGAGCATAGGAAGACTGTTTGTGGAATAAGCTGCCATCACTCAGTAACAGACTAAAACTTACAACATGCCTCGAACATATAAGGTTGAAAGGGAATAAATGAAACAGTGAACAGTATATGAACGTAGTGCCTTTTAAGAAGGGCAGCTAGCCTCCAGTGCAGCTTAAAACCTCCTTGAAGTAGTGTCATTCTGCATCCTTCGCTGGATATCGTGCAATATTATACCCTTTTTCAAGAGCGACAGGATCAGAGTCTGATTCACACACTGCTCTTCCAAAGAAATCTCAAAGCTCCAATGATGTTTAGATCTTTTAAATTAAAACATTTGAGACTTCTTCCTGCTGTTCATGAAACCACTTTTTAATTTATTTAGCAGCATGCATTGTGGCGTTACCATCTTGGTATATGGGAAGATCACGAGGGAGCAGCGTTTGCACCACAGGGTGCACTTCAGTTGAGTAAAATAGCTTCATATTCCTTGGCTGTTATGCAATCATGCAGAGCAATCATCAGACCTAATGATCCCCAGTAGATAGCTGCCCCTACTATTACAGCTCTGCTGCCATGTTTAACAGTCGGCAGCAGACATTGTGGGTTGAAAGCATCGTTTAGCTTTCCTCAGAATCTAAAGAGGATGAAAGATGACTTATTAGAAGATGATATTGCTTCCCGCTGTTGCTCAGGGTCCAGGTTCACAGCCGGTTATTTACCTTTATTTGTTGGCCTTGGATACAGTGTGCTTTCTAACAGCACTCTCTGCAGAATACCAAGCGCTTGTGAAGCTTTGTGATGTCACAGCATTTACATAATACTGTGGGAATATTTGAGGGCGCAGTACTGCAGTGTTTAGCAATCTTAAGTGTTTGTGTCAAAAGTGTCTGTCTATGTTGGTGCGTGTCTCTCTTCTGATACAATTCGACCATATTTGGCATGATGTTTCTCTTGACACATAAAATTATTGAATTTCTTTTTATTATTATTATTATTATTATTATTATTATTATTATTATTCAGCCAACTAGTAACGTATTATCCTTTTAAAGTAGCATGTATTGCAAAGTGGCATTTAACCTACCATAATATGATCCACCCTAGTCTTTGAAATTACCATTTAGTGAGTCATGTGGTGTTTTAATTCTGTCCAATCTATGTATCATCATTATGTTCATTATCTCTGCATACATCCTCCTACAATATTCTTTGGGCTATGAAGTTGTAAAGAATAGACCCAACTGCTCTATTTAAGTATAAAGTATATAAGATACTGTATGATGATTACAATGATTTACAATTGTAAAGCTACTGTAAGGCCCAACCCTTTATATCTAGTATTTTATGCTATTTTTGCCTTTTTTTGACAGTTGACAGTGAAGAGGCACACAGGAAACAAGGAGAGAAAGAGGATGACAAACGAACCACGGATGCTGCAACCATACCATGGTGCTCCTTCATTAATTTTACTGAAAAACTGATTTGAGCTATTCTGATTGTACCCAGCTACGACAGTGCTATAATTTATGGCGATTTTAAAACTACACTATGTCAAATTTGGTGCAACTTGGCAGCCCCAGTTGCAATACCATTGTTGTAAATATGGATGGCTGTACACGTGCATTTGTAATCATTATATTACTAATGACTAAAAACTAGCGAGTTGACAACTTTTCTAACAAAGCCAAACATCAAGCAAGTATGACACACAAGACATAGCAAGCCAGCTAAAAGCCAGAGATTCATTATTGTCCGGTGGCTTCTCTCTCCTTTTCTCTTCTTAACTTCCCGTCGTCCTCGTAGGTCTGTTTGCCTCTGCCACTAGCTATGTTCACAGAAGCTGCTGAGCCCAGGTAATTGTCTGGTTCTGACATGACACCAGCGTCTGCATCAGCACTCCATGTCCCAGGCCCAAAAAACGTCCTCCTGCCGGCGGTCCAAAGCTCCTGTGCGGCGAGTGTAAATACCAACATTCCCCCGGTGCTCTGAGCACCCAGTCCAGGGCATGCAGGGCAGTACAGCTCAGCTAACTAGAGATTTGAGGTGGAACAGCTCGAGGACTTTAGAGAGAAAACCAGAGAACATTTTCTCCATAAGATAGGATCCTGTTTCACCAAAATCAGTGACATACTTTGTGGTGTGTGCCTACACGTTACGCATTACAGAGAGTCAAAAGCTGTAAAGGGGTGCACAATAGGAGTGAAAGAGGGACCATTCACTGTACAACTCGGTGTAGCATCAAAATGAGAAGTTACATAATGTTGCTTTAATATTCACATCTGCTGCCATGAAAATGGCCTTGATTTTATGATTAAACACTTTTCTTTCAATTTAAACCTACATATTACATAACTCACGCATATTGAAAAAGCCACGCTCCTAACCTTGTAGTAACATGTGGTGTATAGGAAAAGGGAAATTTGTGAGAAAGGTACAGTATGTCATGTAGGTATAACAGTTGTACAAGCCCTCCGCTGTCCTATTCTTTGCTCTATTGCGTAAACTGCACTTTCTGTGGTGTACTTCCTTAATATGAATTATTTTCTGATGCTTTTCTTACTGCAGAAAATTAAATTTCTTCTATTCTTAGATTAGATAAACATTAATTATTTTCTTTACAAGTAAATAGTTTACTGTAATAGAAGAAACAAAGTTAATCTAACAGACTAAACTGTGTATGAGGAAATATAAGAAATGTTTCATGAAGCAAAGAGTCTTGATAGAATCTTGACTTTTTCACTGAGGACATTTTGATACATCACAAAAGATCTGGTCTAATTAATAAAATAAATGATGGTTGAATTCCATTTAGCTGCTTCAGTTTCAGGGTCCTGGCACTGTGCATGCTCCCTCTCTGTCATGTTACTGGGACGCTTGCATAGAGCCATTAATGTTATTAGTGTGTTGATGTTTGGGTGTTTTTGAAAAGTTGTCGCTAGTTTTTGATCATAAGTACTGTAATCATAACAAATAAACGTGTACAGTTTTCCGTATTTACAGCAGTGGTGTTTTGTGAATTGCAATCTAAAGCTGTAGGGGCAAGACTGACTGGTTTGTTACCCAGAACCATCTGGGAAGTTGTTATTTGAAACAGTTTGAAAAAGGGCAGGTACTTGGTAGGTGATTGGATGAAGCATTTGACTATCACATCTATCAAGGGCTATCTTCTGGAACTTAATCAGCACTGCCTACATTGACTGTTTAATCTGAGTTTTGTGCAGTGCGGTGGGCGGACATATTGAGAATGACTTGTCAACTACAAGGTTGCCATGCCCAAAAGCACACCCTGCTCTATCGTCTATTTTTTAACTATTTTTTATTTTTTTCACAATTTACAAAAATGAACATTGCGTTGCATGTGAAGTAGGGTAATTTCTCCAAGCCAATGGAGCTTCCCCCTGCTGGCCCTTACATAGGATTCATGTTTAAGACACTTTCATATCAGCTTTACTTCACAGACCCAGGAGCTCTGTCCACTATGTATAATGTCAATTGATATAACTGATGCTAGCAGGATCTACGCTAACCTCTTTAGCAGCCGCCATTGTTGTTTTTGAGCCGCCTTTCTTACACGTCACACACACCTAGTGTTAAACCATGACCATAGCTCATGCCCCAGCTGCCAGCAGTTCCTCAAAGGAAGCTGATTGGTCTAAACTGTTTCGTCACAAGCAATGGGCTTGAAGCTTAAGTTATCTTGTGATTTTGTGATCTTGGGAGTCCAGCCACTTCGCAAGGTTTACTTTACATCACTGTTTACACTACTACAAGCTGACAGCTGTCAGTGAGCACTGACATATATTGTGACCCAGGCCAGTGTAGTTAGCCTCAGTAAGGGCATCTGCACACACTGTCAAGCTGCACATCACTCCTCAGACACACAGCATTGTTAAAAGTCCATCCATCTGCAGAGACTGTCTCTATCACTTCCCCCACGGGTCATTGTGAATCACTGAGGAAGGAGAGAGAGGAAGGTTGAGAACAGTACAGTGTAAAAATGTAACTGTATTGTTTATCTTGTGAGAGCACAAAATAGAGCTGTTTTTATCTTGAATGGATTTTTTCTCCTGTGTTTCTTCACATTTAATGTTTTAATTACTTTTACAACAATGATTAAGCCTCCTGTCAGATTAATTTTTTCATTCAATTTAAATTCATTATATTGAATGTAAGCAGAATGTCACTATTACCCCAGATTTGTGCCAAATCCATGCACACATATTCAATTATTGTTTTCATTGTTTATACATTTTTCAGATGTATTTCAGGTTTGTCGAATAGTCTAGAAATGAAACAGCATGACACTTCTTCTGTGCTTGCAAATATATGTTATGAGTCAATTGGCCTAACATGTCATGACAAGTTCACGGCAGCTTGTTCAATTCAGTGACTCTTTTCATTTTGGTCTTACAGTACAGCTAAACAAGCCGTTACCATATTCATGGGGTTGTGAGAATAAACATCTAAATGAATTGGCTGAACAGATAGTGGATGAATTATTTTGATGAATATTTAATACAATCAGTAGGCAAAGAGAAGAGATTGACTGAGTATGAAAACGAGAGATTGAAACAGAGAAAGTATGAGATAGAGGAGAAAAGAAAGATTAGACAGCCAATTATTTAATCTCTATTGTTGTTTGTGACTAATGATGATTAGGAATAGCGCACAATAATTACAAATTCATAGACATGGGAGCAAACAAACTGTATTAACACAGCAGTATATATCTTGTAATCAACAATTAACAGCACAGCAAACCACTGCTTGCTTATCACATAATTCACATTGCTACCAAATGCACTGGTAACAAACTGTGCTGGTTGATGAAAACAAGAACATGCACTTCATAGCCTTATGCATTATGACTAAATGAAAAAGTTGTGAATCTTTGAGTGTTTAAGTAATTATTAAAGCGTGTTAATTCTTTACTCTAATAATATTCTCTCAGTGT